CTTGCAATACTGCATTCTAACCATTGTGCCAACATGGCTCAAAAATCAGCTGTAATCCGAGGTGGGTGAGCTATCTCATTGTCCTTTCAATCTAAGGGCCAATATATCCATGTTAGCTTTCTGCCTAGAATTTTATGTTTACCGTTTGTATATTAGGAATGAATTGTAAAAACACGTCTGGACAGAATGCTCTTAAAAACAGCTTCAAAAGGCTAATGTAAGCTGACTTTAAAAAACTCTGCTAGCATTCTACCTTGCTTATTACTTGCTTATGACTTACTGCGTATTACATCTTATTACCATATGCTGCCATTGTGTTACTGTACTGGTAGTCCTTGACCTACGGTTGTAATTGAGCCTGGAATTATGTAATAAATCATCGTGGTGATTAAGTGGGTCACTATGTGACCGCACCCAATTTTATGACCTTTTTGCAGTGGTTGTTATGTGAATGCCATAGTTGTTAAGCTGACCTATTTTCCCTAATGGGCATTTTTTTGCCAGAAACTGGAAGTAAACACCAGAAACTGACAAAAAATGCCAAAAATCATAGTCACATAGTTGCGGGACACTGCAAATGACCATAAGCAGTGGGGGGGGGGGACTGCTCTAATCCCAGGACTGGGAGCAGAGCCACTTTTAAAACATCTTTTAAAAAGTCCTATGATGGGAACCATGCAGATTTCCAGGGGGATATCATTCCAGAGGACAGACATGATAGGGAGACTTTAAAATATCTCCTGGATTTGCTTTATTTATTGAAAAATTTAAACACAAGAATAAGACTAATAAAAATTAGAATAGAGCAAAAAAGAAAAGGAAAAAACGAAGGGTGCAAACAGAAAGAATAGCTAGCAGAAAACTGGAAAGGAAAGAAAAATGATATAAAATGGCTTCTGATCTTTACAGAAGTCATAAGTACAATTATAAGTTGACAGCTCTCTCTATAGTTACATCGTGACTATTTTTTCTGTATTTTATCCTACCCAATAATCAATACCATAAATCACATGTACATTTTTTTCTGTTTTACGCAAAAACTCCAAAGGGGTTTTCAGTTAATACTCGTTTTTTATGACTCAATAACTTTGGCCACCTAATGAGAAGGAAGGACTCATTGGAGAAGGCGGATTACGACCCTTTCTAACTCCCGTTATCTTCTTCCCCTGCTGTCTCTTACTCCACCGACCTACCTCAGTGACTTCGTCATCCGCACTTGAATTTACCTGAGGTCTTCTACCATCTCCTGTCCTTCTGGACCTCCTTGCAACAGGTACCCCAGCGCTACCCAGCCTGTGCTGAAGCGTTAATTGTTGTACAACAAAAAGTCCCTTAATTTGGGATACAGTCGGGGCAACTGGATGGAGCTGAGTGCTTTCTGCCCAGATGCCCTTCCTGACGCCATGTGGAATTTGCAGCAGATATTTTTTCTTTGTGCCCTAAGAGAGAGAAACATCTGCCCCTACTTAGGATTGAATTCTCAACCTTCCAGGGAGAGGTGAGACTCTAGGCCACCACACCACTCCCCTTTTCAGTCACCAATAAATATAGATATTGTCTTCTGTCTAATCAAACAAGGCCATTTTGATGAGTTCTGTCAGCTTCATTCATCATTCTTCTATTGTAGGTATTGCCAAATCTTTCCATCTTTGTACAATAGATAAAAGAATTTATGATATTTAGCATTGGAAGACTGATTTTTGAAACAGAATTATGTACAGGTGATGGACATGTGATTGCTAAAATGTATAAACTTTTATTGAAATTTGAAACAGAAATAGTTAAGGAATGTATGATAACATGGGTTAAAAGTTTTGGTTATAATAAACAGATGGAACAATAGAAAAATATGTGATTGAAAGGATTGAAATTCATACTATGTTGTAAACTCAAAGTAAATTTTTATGAAATGATGTATCATTGATATATGATACCAGAAAAATATCTAGAATATACAGTATAAAAGTACTTCAAATTTATGTTAGATGTGTGAACAACAAGAAGGATCATTTTATTATGCTTGGTAGAAGTGCAAAAAAGCTAGAAAATGCTGGGTTCAAATATATACAGTATTTCAGAAGATTTTAAAGATTACTATTCAACTGAAAGCAGAACTTTTCATCTTGGGACTAAAATTACAGTTGAAAAAAAGTAACTTCTGTATTTCCAAAACCAGGTTATTTATTCAGGATTCTCATGAATGCTTCCTACTGATGCATCTTTTATTAAAGTCTTATTCTGTGCTCTGAAAAATCTGAGTCCTGTAGATTTTCAGCTCCTTTATATAAACTCTGTTTTTCTGAAAGGCTGTGGTTGTGAGAATGTCATCTTTTTAGACCATTTGGACCTATACCTTTTAAATGTGCTTGTCCTTTTATTTTCCAGATTTATTTTCTTTTCACAGCAAATTGGCTGACATTTATTGGTGCGAGACATTTCCACCATCTACCTTAATATGGTCCCTTGCATTTCTGACGTTTTACTCCTACAGCTTAAGGCATCACAAATCAATAGGAAAAAAAAGGCTAAACTTGTTGTCTTGGGGTTTGGAGCTATTGTACATTATGTAACACTCTGGCATTGTCTATAAATAACCTGAATTGTAACAGTACGTCTGATGCTGTGAAGAACAATGTCTCTTGACAATTCATTCTGGGGGAATTCAACTATGGAAGATTAGACAAAAAAAGGTGCACTTCATGGAGAAAGAAATTTCTGAACCTATCCTTCTGACCTATTTAAATTTTCCATGCAGTTTTCTTACAACAGGCAACCACGTAGCTCTTTTTTTTTTTTAGCACATAATTATATGGAATGGGGTTGGAGATTTTTCCACTTGAAGCCTATATCTTCTGTAATCAGTCTACTAGTTTAATGAAAAGTGGTTGTGTGAAAGAGGTCCATCCAGAAAACCAAACAGGATTTTGCATGGAGTGGTTGCATATGGGCCACTTGCACAGCCAGCCCTCAGAAATGAGAGAAGATCTTCTTGTTTCTGGGGGCTGGCTGCAGACAACCTGTGCTGCAAACACTCTGTGCCAAAATCCTGCTTGGAATTCAGGACGGATCTTTTTCAGCCAGCCTCTAGAGAAAAAAAGTCCTGCCCACTAGAGCAGAGGTCCTCAACCTGTGGGCTGTGGCCAACTACTAGGCTGTGGCCTAATCACCACCGGGGCATGTGAATGGCCGGCCGGTGTGTGCACGTCTATGTGTGAGCAGCATCATAAGCATCAGGGGTGTTTATAGTCTCACTCACGGAAGCGTTGTTGGGTGTTCCCGGCCTCACTCATGCAAGCATCATCACGGGTGCTTGTGGTCCCACTCACGCTCATGTCATCAAGGGCGTTAATGGCCCCACTTACATTAGAGTCATTAAGGATGGTCGTAGCCCCACTCACACGAGCCTCAATGCAGGTACTTGTGATTCCACTCGCGCAAAACTTGTGGGCGTTCACGGCCCCACTCATGCGAGGATCATCACAGGCATTTGCGGCCTCACTCCAGCAAGCATCATCATGGTCACTCACAGTCCCACTCATTGCGGGCGCTCGCAGTCCCACTTGCAAGAGTGTCGTCGAGGGCTGTCACAGCCCCACTCGTGCAAGCCTCATTGTAGGTGCTTGCAGTCCCACTCGTGTGAGCATCGTCACAGGCATTTGCATCCCACTCGTGAGCTTTGTTGCAGGTGCTTGCGGCCCCACTTGTGCGAATGTTGCCCTGAACATTGCGGGTGTGCACACACACGCACACATGCACCTACTCCTCCCAAAACATCATTGCTTCTTTCCCCCCTCCTCCCTGCTCTGGGCCACCAATCTGGAAAGGTTGGGGAAGTCTACTTTAGAGGGATCCAGCCCCATGCAAGGCTGAGTCCCTCTGGCAGGCAGCTCTTTGACAGCCCTTTCACTCAGTCTGCTTAATTACCCAGGAGATCACTTAACACCTACAATTAGGAGTATTCCAAGATTATAGTTGTTGAGTGAAGCAAACCAGTTCACTGTAATGCCAGAGGATTCTACTCTCAATTGGGGTCATAAATTGAACAAAGACTAGCTGTATTTCCGTTCTGTCACACATTAAACTACAATTCCATCAAAACTTTTAGACAGACTTTGGAGTTCACACAGAAGGACTTTCAAATTTTACAAAGCCTTAGAAGCTCAGTTGTATATCCTGGTCTTAAGATGTAATCGTATTTTTCAAATGATTGTAAGTCTTCAGGGGCAAAGAGTAAAAGCCTTTTGAAATGAACTTGTCCTTTTTTAAAGGTGTCAGCTTTGGAATGTATATAACTTGGATCTGTCGCTATATGGCAGCAATTTTGCAGTGTTATCTTCCAAAACTCAAAAAAAAAAAAAAGGAAACAAAGGAGAAGCACTTGTTCAAAGGAATGATCAGAATCATATTTAAAAAAAATCAAATATCTCTATCTTTACAATAAAAATAGAGTAAAAAGGAGAATAGTTTAATATAATTTGATATTAGGAAAGGGGAAAAATAATAGGATAATAACAGAGCATATCTAATTATATAGATATTTGGCCACCTGATATGTCAGTTAGCATAAACATAACATTTATCTGTGTGGGCTTTGTATTTGGGAATGATTGGGGCGATCAGAGGACATCATGGGGCATCATAGAAAAGATACCATATGAAGACATGAATAAGAATTTCTTCCTCCCTGGATCCACAGAGACAAAATCTTTGCAAATAAGGAGTCCCATGAAATCTTCCATTCAGTTGTTTTATTGTCCTATTATTTTTCCCCTTTCCCAATAACAAACTGTTGTGTTAAGCTATTTCTCTTTTTATTACATTTTTTTATTGTAAAGCTGGTTCAAAGTCTGTAATAAAGATATTTGATTTTAATCAGAGGAATGACCAATGTGCATAAACAATTTGGAAAGTTGAGTGGAATAATAGAGTTCTCTCAAAAATATGAAATCTTAATACAATTATTAGTAATTGGATTTAGATGGCAACTTTGACACATAGCAATGGCAGCCATTCATATTAAGGGTACGTACAGTTATATGGTTATAAATAACTATTTGTTAAAAGTGTTTTGAGTCCCTTCCTTTTCTTTAAAATTCCAAACTGATTAGTAGTACTTATAAGGGCAGAAAATAAAAACAGAATAGAAACAATCTATAAGAAGAAAGATATTGAAGAAGTTATATTTTTAAAAAGCAATTAAAATGTGACACCATTCAGGAGGCCTTTTAGTAGAAGTCATTCCAAAGAGTAGTTGTCATCATAGGAGAAATTCATTCTATGTAGCCACCAAATGATAGTCTGCAAAGCACACCATCAAGCCATAAGGCAGTTGAGGCAATGAGTGACCTCCAGAGATTGTTGTTGTTGTTCAGTCACTAAGTCATGCCTGATTCTTCGCAATCCCATGGACCACAGTGAGTCAGGCCCCCCTTTCCTCCACTGTCTCCCAAAATTTGCCCAAATTCATGTTCATTGCATCAAGACAGTATCTAACCATCTCATCCTCTGCTGTCCCCTTCTCCATTTTCCTTCCATCTTTTCCAGCATCAGGTTTTTTTCCCCTGAGTCCTCTCTTTTCATTTGGTGGCCAAAGTATTTGAGCTTCAGCTTCAATATCTATCCTTCCAAAGGACAGTCAGGGTTGTTTCTTTTAGGATTGACTGATTTGATCTCCTTGCAGTCCAAGAGACTCTCAAGAATCTTCTCCAGCACCACAATTCGAAAGCATCAATTATTCGACACTCAGCCTTCCATATTATGGTCTCACTCTCACAGCCATACATTACTACTAGGAAAACCATAGCTTTGACTATACGGACCTTTGTCAGCAAAGTGATGTCTCTGTTTTTAATATGCTGCGATTGCCAAACTAACTCTGGTATTCTGCAGCATTAGCCATCTTGGTTGAGGCTACTTGATGATGTAGATCAGAAAACTGAATCTACCCTAAAGTGACAAACAAGATTATTCATAATTTGGAAAGAATAGTGTAATGGTATATGGAAATGGCTTTGGGAGACAGAAGGAAGAGCTGCAGACTAGGCAACAGCCAGATAAGAGACAACTGAGACCACAGAAGAAATGGGGGCATGGCAAAACTTCTCAGAAGGGATCCTTCTTATTTTATTAGACATTAAAAGCAAGTGTGGGGGGGAGATATCCATTCAGACTTGCAGATTCTGCTCTTGGAGGCTTACAATAAAGATAGAGCTGGTCTTCTGTAGGCTCAGTTAAGATAAGATAAGATAACCTTTATTGTCATTTTTTTTAACTGTGGGCACAATGGCACACATCAAAAATGAAATTTAGTTGCCTGCTCTCAAAGTGAACACATACATAACACACACCTAAACATCCCATATACAACATATGTGTAGACCCACACCCCCACATATACATAACAAATAAATATTAAACACTGTCCATCTTGAATATACTGTACAACAGAAGGAGGAAGCATGAGAGTTCACAGGTTTAATGCTGTATAGAATGAAACTATGGCTGAATCTGGATGTTCTGCTTCGGATACCTCCTCCCAGAAGGTAGCAACGAAATCAGGTCATGAAGAGGATGTATAGTGTCCCTGATAATCTTATGGATCCTATCAAGCAACACTTCTGTGCTAAGTCCTGGATGGGAGGGAGGGAACTGCCAATGATCTTTTCAGCCATCCTCACCACTCTCTGCACCTCCTTCCTTTCTGAAGCAGTGATGCTTCCAAACCGGACCGTGATGCTGTATGATAGGATACTCTCGATCGTCCCTCTATAGAAAGTGGTAAGGACAGGGGAAGGAAGATGTGCTTTTCTCATGCGACGCAGAAAATGCAGGTGCTGCTGTGCCTGCTTCACCATTGTCTCGCTTTTGAGCGACCAGTATTTGTTTGGACTACCTCCTAAGACTGACAAATAGATTGACCAATGCCACGTTTTGGGTTGCATTCTCCTCTTATTTCCTCATATTTTGGTCTCAGGGAAAGAAATGGGTAGCTATATCTAGATCCCACCCACAAGTTTTTCCACCCTTTTTTAGGAGCTCATGTGAATAACGTGGAGAATGAAAGGAATCCAAGAAGGTGTAGACTATAACATGTGCCTTCCGGCATAATTAGAAACAATATGTTCCTAACAGTCTCAGAGCCTGATTTTGATTTGCTTTTCTGTTTGTGAATATACACAGTGATTGCCCAGAATGAAACTTTACAAAAAATAATTAGAAGCAATAATCGTAAAACAAACAGTTCAAGACAATACCAGATGAAAACCAAATCCAAAGCAGCAGGTTAAAACCAGCAGGCTGAATATTCAGACATTTACTAACAGCTCAAAAGTGGAAAACAAAATGCTGGCTATATAATATATTCTTTTATAGAAAAAAAATATGGATGATGTGCTTGTTCTGCTGTTGATTTTATAATGCATGGAAACAAGCTGTTCTGGTACTTTTAATAGAAAACCAGGACATTATTGTTATTATTACATGCTGGGTCTTTATTATTATACTCTCATTCCCTAGACTGTACTTCTCTTTTTAATTTTGAATATTAAACAAAACTTGTGATACAGGTTTGTGACACCATAAACATGCTACAGTAATCCATACTCATATATTTATGATGCTATCAGTATTTATTAAAAACATAAGTAGCATAGGAAAAGAAAAGTCAGTGCATATTTATTAGTTCATATAGCATTACCCAGAAGACATTTTATTAAAAAGACAAAATTGGAAATGTTTAGCTTTGAGAAGGAGAGAACAAAAATGATGGCAATCTTAAAATACCTGATGATGTCACATTGAAAGTACTCAGAATCTGTACTCTTGTCTTTTTTTGAATACAAGGCATAAAATAATACATTTAAGTTATAGGAAGATTGGCTCAGCTGATTAGGACCCTGGGTTGACAATTTGTAAGCCCATGTTTGAAGCCTGAGTACTGGTGTGTGACAGGGTGAGCTTCTATCATTCACTCCAGTTCCTGCCAACCTAGCAGTTTGAAAACATGCAAATGCAAGTAGATAAATAGGTACCACTTCAATGGACTTGGCATCCCCAGGAGGGTGTCCCCAACTTGGCATCCCCAGCAGGGTGATGTCACTGGTTAATCATTTCACCACGGAACTCTTTGGTCTTCTGACATGGAAGTATAGTATAGGAAGGCTTTTATCTTTCTTTATATTTTATTATTGTTTTGTAAGCTGTTCCCATGTTTCCCTGAAAATAAAACCCAACTGGAAAACAAGCCTTAGCATGAATTTTTTGGATGCTTTTAATATAAGCCCTACCCCAAAAACAAGCCCCAGTTAAGATTGTCAGCAGACAGGCACATTTAGTACTGTAAATTTTCCCGAAAATAAGACCTAACTGATAGGTAAGATATTTCAGTTTGAATACTTGGATTGAGTGAGAATAGGACTCAGTGGCCTAAGTAGCCCTTTCCTATTCTAGGATGTTATGATCCTATGTCGTTGGTTACATCTGCAGTCCATCTTTATGGAGGGGTCTTCTGGTAGCTGAGCTTTGCAGTAGTGTGTATTTTAAAAGTAATAACTGTAACAGTAGATTTTGGGTAGCACATAGCAAAACACAAAGAACAAGGGAGAGGGAGTGAAATTAAATTACAACTTTCTAGGCAAAAGGCTCTCTTCTCTATGGAATTTGGTGTAGTGGTTAAGGCATCAGGCTTGAAACTGGGAGACCATGAGTTCTAATCCCAGTTTAGGCACAAAGCCATCAAGATGACCTTGAGCCAATCACTTTCTCTCAGCTTTAGAAATGAGGCAATGGCAAACCACATCTTAGAAACCTTGCCAAGAAAACTTCAGGGAGTGCCAGAGAATCAAATACAGTTGAATGGAAGGAAAATGTCTGTCTGTCTATCAATCATCATCTGTCATCTATTTGTCTATCTTATCTATGGGACTGGAATCATTTTTCAATCATTTTTAACAAATGTCCATACACATTTGTTTTCTTGAATAAGAAACAGAAACCTCTTTTCTTTACATGTTAAATATGAAGCAGTATGCTTATAAAAATGAGCTGATCGTTTTAAACCTGCTACTCATAAGTTTAATGCCATTCCCTTATTAGATGGGAACAAACAGCTAGATCAGTGTTTCTCAACCTTGACAATTTTAAGGCATGTGGACTTCAACTCCCAGAATTCCACAGCCAGCATTGCTGACTGTGGAATTCTGGGAGTTGAAGTCCACATGCCTTAAAATTGTCAAGGTTGAGAAACACTGAGCTAGATGGTGTTCAAGGAGGCCTCTTAAGTTCCTTTACAGCTGTTATTTGAGGGAAAACAGCAGTAAGTAGACTTCAAGCATTGGTGTTAATTATCTACACCAGGGGTAGTCAACCTTGGCTCTTTTATGACTCGTGGACTTCAACTCCCAGAATTCCTGAGCCAGCACAGCTGGCTCAGGAATTCTGGGAGTTGAAGTCCACGAGTCATAAAAGAGCCAAGGTTGCCTACCCCTGATCTACACTGTAAATCTTAATCAGCTCTATTAATAACAATAGCAATCCTTAACTGTTGGTAATATTCACATATAAAGTGCTGACATTTTTCTAGGAATGAGGCAAGAAAATAAAAGAAAGTAATGAAAAAGCTGCATGTTTCTGGCCAAACAAAGGGACCAAGTTTGTCTTGTTTTCATTATAGTATAACATTCTCCTTGGGGAGGATAGAGGTTGAGCTTCATTGTGACTCCCTAGTTTTCTTTCCTCCTCAACTTAATCATGACTATGAATTACTCTTAATTAGCAGCAAGTTTAGAATTTCCTGGCTTGCAACTTATAAAAACAAGCAAATGATAGCAGTTGGCATGTATCTCTCCTCCTTTTCAAATAAGTGTATATTTTAGAAAAGTTGATGTAGAATGATAATAAAATGATAATAAAAGTACAACTTTTGATAAACAAATCCATCGTTATATCAGCATCCCGGTGTCCATGGACTTTTTCATCCCACAATGTTAGAATAACCTCCACACTTTAAGTGTTCTGGTAATTTAAGACATCAGCTTGGAGATAAAGGAATATCATATTGCTTAGATGATTTCCAATTTTCCCATAGTTTTGATAATATCAATTTATTATAATGTCAATTTTGCTGAGAAAATGCTATTTGAAATGCATTTAAGCTCCGAGTTTTACTTTCCTGCATCATGTGTACTGGTTACTTCTTTGCAAATGAACCTATTTTCTGGTGCTTTGCCTAAATGTCAGACTATTTGTGCATTGTTAGGTAATGACATAACAAATAAGTACCTAAAAGCTTCTCCAAAAAAAAAGCAATCTTAAGAGAAAGGAGAATTTTATATGCATTATAAATTTGGACATGGTTATATCAAATGTTACTCATGGACTCTTGGAATGAAGTCTATATTTTACTCAAGGCTGTTCACTCATTATTATTGCAATACAAATACAAGCATATTTAAGTCAATTTCTGTTGGTTTGGGCCAAAGAAGCAAAACAACAACCTTCAGAAATAAATATAGTTGGGAAAAAAATTAGAAATAGTTTGCCTGGATCCTCTCATGACTGAAAAATAACCCCCTTGCTTAGTTGAAACTCTGAGCTTTATTTAACTTTCTTTAAATTGCTGTATATCACTATATTTGACAGCACATATTTTCTCTTAGCAGGCAAGGGCAGAAACTGCCAGATTAAGTGATTTAAACAAAATAAAGAGTTGCTGAGAAAATTTCTTTTTCCTAGCTCCTGAGCCAAGCCAGACGTCAAATAGCTTAGGTCTGGTTTACGCATGAAACAATGTGTGAAGTGTTCAGGGATTCCACTACTGTATCAATTAATTGACAGGCTTTGCTTGAAGAAGACACCTGTTGGCCTTTTTTCCTCTGTGGGCATACATAATTTCTTGTCTCCCATGGTTATATACTTTTTGTATATTTATCAGCATTACATAGCAGGGGATTTATAAGCCATCCAGAGCCAATCTGGATTTGGCAACACCAAAATCAAATCAGATCAAATATGAATGCATACATATATATTCCAAAAAGAATGTATAATAAACAAGTTATTTGAACAATCCAATTGATACTCATATTAATGGAAAAATGTACGCAAAGAATCCAGAGAAAATCATTTGTTAGAGCAAATGACTGCTGCTTTGATAGCTTTAAATGTTTGCTTTAAGAATCTAATTCTGCATTATTAAATGTCTCTTCATTCCAGGTCATGGAAATCAAAGGACAAATGATCCACGTCCCAGAATCAAACTGTATTTTGTTTTTGGGCTCACCATGTGTGGACAAGCTGGATGAACTGATGGGTCGAGGCCTCCACCTTTCAGACATACCAATTCACGATGCTACCCGTGATGTCATCCTTGTTGGGGAGCAGGCTAAAGCCCAGGATGGCTTGAAGAAGAGGATGGACAAGCTTAAAGCAACATTAGAACGAACGCACCAAGCTCTAGAAGAGGAGAAGAAGAAAACAGTGGATCTTCTTATCTCAATCTTCCCAGAAGAAGTGGCCCAGCAGCTCTGGCAGGGGCAGCAAGTTCAAGCCAGAAAATTTGATGATGTTACGATGCTCTTTTCAGACATTGTTGGCTTCACTGCTGTCTGTGCCCAGTGTACACCCATGCAAGTGATCAGTATGCTCAATGAGCTTTACACCAGATTTGACCACCAATGTGGATTCCTAGATATCTATAAGGTAACAACATCTTTCACCCTTCAAGTTTTACAGAAGTATGATATTGCTAATATACCCTTTTCTTACTAACAGTGTTCTATTTTCTTACTAAAAGGTTGATCTAAGTTGCATGGTTGTTGCTAGAAATTTGACTGTAGGGAAAAAGTGAGCAATGGGGTGATCCAGTCTGGAAATGTGAATAGGCTAGAAGGCAAGGATCAGATCTTTAAAATGATCTTATTTTTACTGTTGATATATAATCAACAAATTAGAAGTGAGCTGAGTTGGAACCATGCTTCTTGATGTACCATATTCAAAATTGGCAGCACTCTCACTCCTAGATTGAACTGACATAATGTACTGTATTTTAACAATTTCAGATTTCTCCTATTATAATTCAATTGTCTTTTAGTTCCAAGGCTGGAGAGTTTAATTATATTAGGTGAATAACTGGTACAAATGTGCCCCCTCCTCCACTTTCAAAAATTAGATTTGGAACCATTGTGTACAAAAACCAAATGACATTACAGGTAGTCCTCGACTTACAACCACAATTGTAACCACAATAACAAGACAGTTATTAAATGAGTTTTGCCCCATTTTACAACCTTCCTTTTCACAGTCTTTAAGTGAATCACTGCAGTTAAGTTAGTAACATGGTTGCCACTCCCTGCCCCACCTTCCATTTGTCTCAGCCCCCTGAACCAAACCAACGTCTAGGAGGACTGTTTTACCCCCTGTCTTGGCTTTTCTGCTGCGGGACTCTGGACTCTGTGAACGGACTGGGATGTACCTCAGGTCAGAGCTGCTGGCCCTGCGCGATTCCCCCCTCGCGCAGGTGTGGCCCAGTCTAATCCTAGGGGCCTGCCTCGATGACGGGGTATGGAGCCCCGAGAGGTGGTATGCAGCCAAAAAAAGAGACCTAAAGAAGTTGAAATTGAGGGCTTTTTTAAAGGGGTGTTTTAATAAATTTTTAAGGGGTTCGGGGTTTTTAGGGGGGTCGGGGTTGGCCCGAGGGGACTTGGGGGAGCCCTCTCTGAGGCCAAGGCCAGTCCANCCTTAACATGGATCATTTAAATTTCTCTGATCATTTATTTGTCTCAGTAGTTAGCAGCATATGACTGACTTTGAGTTTGGAAGCTAAGCAGAGTTTGGCCTAGTTGGCATTTAGATGGAGACTGGACGTCCAAATGAGTATTTCAAAATTATAGAAAGTGAGGTAGTAGAAGTGAGTAGAAAGATGAGGCATTCATCTACCGTAATTTGTTTTAAATGTTGTACATACAATCAAGATAAGATAGATGCAAAGATAGATGTGAGGTGAGCGACACTGTAGACCTGTGCCTTGTCTAATGTATATTGAATGCCTGCATAGAATTTACAGACAGCTAAAGGGAGATATTTTTTTTAATTTGTAACTTTAGAAAAAGGTGAAATTTTATTATATTAGGATATAAATATTTAGGTAGTTATTTGCCAATTGTTAAGGAGAGCTGAAGATTTAGAGATGGCCTTATAGAAAATGGGGTGAGGCATGGAATGAACTATTTGGTTGTGTTTTAAGAGATAGTGATAAATTGTTAATGTTGACTATATTTTCTGAAGATGAAGGGGGAAGTGTCTTCATTTTTTTTTCTTTTTTCATTTTGTGTGTGTTTATGTACACACACACACTGTAATATATATATATATATATATGGGAGGGAGACCGAGGGAGACCGAGGGAGACCGAGGGAGACCACTGTGCCTCAGATACACGGTGCAGAGTCCCTCCTTGTGAAGTGGGGACAAGGGGTACAAATGGGCCTGTTGATCATATACCTGGCCCCCTGCTATGTATCAACGGCCCTGCCTGAGTTGGCCGATGTAATAGCCGGGTTGGCGATTGAGACCCCCAGACTTATAGTCATGGGGGATCTCAATCTACCATCTGCGGGCGAAACATCGGCGGCAACTCGGGAGTTCTTGGCCTCCATGACGACCTTGGACTTGACCCAATTAGTTCATGCCCCCACTCACACAGGAGGACATACACTGGATCTGATTTTTGTCTCTGGCCAGTGGCAGACTGATCTGGAAATGGGGGAGATAATTATAGAGCCCTTGTCATGGTCAGATCATGCACTCCTTAGGATGGACTTCCGGACCGCTCCCCCCCGCCGCAGGGAGACGGAACTGCGCAGATGGTTCCGTCCCAGACTCCTGATGGACCCGGAGAGGTTCATGACGGAGCTTGGGCCATATCCGGAGGACCTAGTCCACGACTCGGCAGAAGATCTGGCGGCAGCCTGGGAGGTGGCTGCAGCCGCAGCACTGGACCGAGTCGTGCCGTTGCGGCCTCTGACCCGGCGCAGATCTCAACAAGCTCCCTGGTTTACCAAGGAGCTGAGAGAGATGAAGCGCCGGAAAAGACGCCTAGAGAGCAGTTGGAGGGCTACCCGAACCGAATCCGACCGAACACAGGTAAGGATGCATGTTAGATCCTACCTTGTGGCAATGAGGGTGGCGAGGTCTAATTACTACTCCACCCTCATTGCGTCATCAGATAATCGCCCGGCCTCCCTCTTCAGGGTGACACGCTCTCTCCTCCAGTTGGGGGGGGGAGGACCCCCTGGAGGGGAGGGCTGAGGACTTTGCTCAATATCTGTATGACAAAGTCGCTCGGATCCGAGAGGGTTTGGACTCCGACTGGGTGGCCCCGGGGGAGGAGACGGGGGCAGGTCTTGAGAATATTATATGGGAGGAGTTTGACTCTGTGGCTCCTGAGGACGTGGACAGGATCCTGGGGAGGCTGAATGCAACCACATGTGTACTGGATCCGTGCCCCTCCTGGCTGGTACTGGCAGCTCGAGAGGGTACACGAGCCTGGCTCCAGGGAATTATAAACGCTTCCTTACAGGAGGGTGCCTTCTCCGTGACCTTAAAGGAGGCGGTGGTGAGGCCCCTCCTTAAGAAGCCTTCCCTGGACCCAGATGTATTGGCTAACTATCGCCCGGTATCCAACCTCCGCTTTGTGGCGAAGGTTGTTGAGAGTGTGGTTGCGCAGCAGTTCCCTCAGTTCCTGGAGGAAACAGTCTATCTAGACCCGTTCCAGTCGGGCTTCAGGCCGGGTTACAGCACGGAAACGGCATTGGTCACGCTGGTCAATGATCTCTGGAGGGCCCGGGATAGGGGTTATTCCTCTGTCCTTGTTCTTT